CCATGAAGTGATCTTGCTTCTTCTCATCAGTATCCACCTCGCTAGGGGCATAACGTGACAAATGAATGAATTTATCTCGATACCACAGACAGACATGGATCCTTGCTTTAAACTCAAAAACTCCTTTTTCAACTTGATTAATCCTGCTGGCATATGGTGTGATCTAAAGCTATCCTTAAACTCCTACCGGGTGATATTAGCTGGAGTTGCATGAGAGCAGTGTAGAAGTCCCACCAATCCAATGCTGCTCCCTCAAGCATCCAGGAAGCAAATAAGACCTTCTCTCTCTATCATTGCTTTGAGCGATCTCTAGATGCCTCTCCACTGATTTGAGCCAATCATCAGCTTCTATAGGCTCAGAACAATGATAAAAAATAGGCGGACCACCCTTCATAAACTCTCCATGCCTATCGCTAGGTGGAGTTTGCATCTGCTGAGCTTGAGCTTCTTTGGAAAGAGGTCATTGTCTGAACTATTCCTTGCAAAATCTGAGTCTGCATAGCCACCATCTTCTCCATTGTCACAGTGCGGGAGGAGGTGGTGGGTTCTTGTTATAAAGTGTTATTACTGTGCCTCTCAGTGTTGCTCCTTGTGTTAACCATCTATTTGGGTGAAAAGAGGATGATCATGGAAAGGGTATGAGCAAGATATAACGTGTGAAAATAAGGTATATAATGCAAGATATCATAGCATGGTATAAAAAAATAAATACAAAGAACAAGAATACAAGATAACATGATTCAGATAATAAGATTAAAACCCCTAACTAATGACTCCCTCCATTCCAAATTATAAAGACGTTTTGGTTTTTCTAGATACGCAGCTTTTGCTATACATTTAGATATACACTATGTCTAGATTAGAAAAAAGCCAAAACGTCTTATAATTTCGAATAGAGGGAATAGCACTTAAACTAAGAAAAATAACTTTTGTAGTCATGGATAACAACCTACAATACATCACACACATTACAAAGATGCAGCTCATGCATAAACATAATAACAAACACGCAAGCAAGCCTAAACTAGTTACTAAACGCGTTTGAAACTAATCAGCTTCAGCCGGCTTATCAGTTAGAATCTATAGTATTTTTCTCTCACAACAAATCAGCTTCAGCCGGCTTTAATACCAGCCGAACAGGCCCTAAGTGTTTCTTTAGACTACATGGTGAAAAAGAATCCTAGAATTTGTCCGATAAGTTGTAGCCATCTTTAGGATACATAAGAGTGAGGTAAGAGACAGTCCTAAAAGCATAAATATTGAGGCAAGGAATAAACACAGGAGCAATGAATTAACAAGCAACAAGCGGGGGATAAAAAACAAGGATAAGGATATAGTATAACAGAAAATGGCAAAAGTTTCTAAGAATAGAACCAAGTGCTGATTATATGTGCACCAGGATCAGTTTTACACCCATGTAATGACATCATTAGTGAATAATATAAATATTGCTTTAAATAAAAGAATTTAATTATTACAAAGTTCACTCAAAGTCATTAACAAAAACAATTCAAACATATCACAAGCTAACTCGTAGTGGAACATCTAATCTTCCACTCAAAGTCATTAACAAAAACAATTCAAACCTATCACAAACTAACTCGTAGTGGAACATCTAATCTTCCCCAGGCAGCTTACTATGGAACACATATGCCTAGACTCCTGATAGTTCTCTAGAAACTCCTTAAATTCTCTATCTAAGTACCCATGCGGTATTTTTCCAAAACAATAATAAAGCAAGCGTGAATATCATCGTACTGAGCGTGCGTAGGGAATAAATGATACGCACAGGCTTAAAACAAGGAACAGCTAACACTGGTTATACTGCAGTAAGCTTTTAAGTCGGTACATTTCATTAACAACTTGTTTACTAATAAAGTATGTTATCCCAGAACCATTAGCAGATTACATATAAATAAGTTAAATAACATAAATTAAGCATGTATGAAACATAGCATAAAAATTAACAATATAAATATAACATGCGAGATCCAGGTCGCTCTTAACCATGAGAACTAGTATATTAGTTTCAGATACTCTTCAAAGGATGCCGATTTTTATCCACGTGATGTGATACTAGTTTGCCTAAGGTGGACATCCTCTTAAACACTTCCAAAGTGAGTAGGCAAGATTTCACTACGAGGCCTTTCCAAAGGGTCCTTCCAAGCGTATTAGTTTATAGAGCACACACTGTAGAAGCAATCTCCCATACCTAGGATTAGGCAAGCGTAGGAGAAAACTCCTATATCCATGTTAGTATTAAACTAATGTCCACACAAGGATCCTCTAATTAATTAGCTAAGACTAATGATTAGTTAAATTGTGGTTGCAATGTTTTCTTGGATGTTCACTCCATGTTCCAATTAAATTCATTATAGGCTATCACCATCAATTCCATATACAATGATAAGGTGGGTTCCAAAACTTGTCCAACCAAAATCATGGCAAGCCAAAACTTAGGCTTCCCAAAATCAGGGCTTGCCAAAGTTAGGAAAAAATGTAGGAATACATTTGGTTGAGTGCCATGACATAGTAGTGAGCACTTTTTTCTCTTATGAGATTGAGGAAGTTTCTAGTTGCTTTGACATCATTTTGCCGTACAAATTGGTGTGCCAATTTTTTTGTTAATAAGCCAATCAATAGCCAAAACTTGTAGGCATGCCTTAATTTTGGTTGGGCAAGTTTTGGCTCCCAACCAATCAGGCCCCTACGTTCATATACCCGAGCTAACAAGGAAAATTGTACAACCTATGAAGTCCTTATGAGGTTTGACACGTGCATGCAGTATGTAATCAATGATAAATGAGATATCAAAATGATCAAGGACACTTGCCTTTTATAATGTTTTTTTTGTTCTTTGCTTAGAGTCTTGAAAATCTTGCTCTTGAATGTTCAGCACTTGCTCTCCTAAACGTAGCGAACAATGATCACATAAGCATATATATGTAGATACAAACAAACAGATGAAGATAAATAAAATAGTACACATAATAGAAATAGAATGGAAAAAGGAGTACTAAAATGTCCAATGGAAACAGAATGGAAAAGGAATACTAAAATGTCGATGCAATGTTTTCTTGGATGTTCATTCCATGTTCCAATTAAAGTCATTAACGGGTATCACCATCAATTCCATATACAATAATAAAATTGTATCAACAATTTATAAGATCATCATATATCGTAAATAAAAGGTAAAGCAACTAAGCATTTACTACCCTTCATATACCCCAGCTAACAAGGGAGATTGTACATCCTATGAAGTCCTTATGAGTAATGACACATATATGCAGTATGTATCAATGATAAATGGGATATCAAAACGATAAGGACGCTTGCCTTCTATAATGTTTTGTTGTTGCTGCGTCTTGAAAATCTTGCTCTTGAATGTTCACCACTTGCTCTCCTTCTAAATGTAGCGAACAACGGTCACATGATCATATATATGTAGATACAAACAAACAAATGAAGATAAATAAAATACTACACCAAGCAATAGAAACAAAGGCCCTATTCGCTTGTCTTATGAGTCGTACTATTTCAGCAAACAAACAACGTTTTTCTCTCAAAATAAATCAGCGAACGATACTTTCAGCTATGACTTTTCAGCAAAGCGAACAGAGCCAAAATAGAAAAGGAATACTAAAATGTATAACATGTCGCTACTGTGGTGTGAAGAACGCAAGAATCATTACAACCGGATTTATGGCTTGAAAGGTATAAATATTCCAAGGTATATATATTTAGCATGGTAAGAAGGTATTTTCGAATTAAAGCAAAACTAACATGTACACCGTGCAAATTAATAGTTTAGTTAATCATCAGGCAAGGAAGAAGTGAGTAGGCGCTCCGCGCTCACCATTCACCAGACGGTAGATGCCGGAAGCAGATGGCAGCGACGAGAACCCGCCCAGCCCTTGACGGCAGATCGAGTTGTTCCAGTGAAGAAAATCACCGGCGGCAGGCGGCAGGCGGCAGGCGGCAGCACGACTTCGGCTCAAGTATAATGCAGCTGCAGATCGTCGGCGGAGGAACAGTGCTGACGGACGAGATCGACGTCGACGGCGGTCACGAGCTCGGCCAACGATGGTGCAAAGGCAGGGTACGGGGCGGGGCGGCGGGTTGGGGCAGACGAGGCGCGCGACGACCCGACGGGGTTCCTAGTGGTGGCGGCTGCCTCTGATGGACCTATATATATATATAAGACTATCTCAACACCGCCACCTAAAATATCACAGACCCATTTGATTTTCGGGTAGCATTATACTTAAAGGTTTAATACTCATTCGTTATTTTCTCCAACAACGAGACTAAAAGATATTTCTTTCTGCAAATAAGTTTCCAAAAATTAAAATACTCATATTTAAATGGTGTCTATCAGACAACCCAAAATTGATCGTCTAATACCTGGGCATGGGGGCAAGGGTGTTAAGGCCCACATTGGGGGAATTAGGCCCATGGAAGTATGACGGTGATCTGATTTCCAATTCCGTCTACTCGTAAAAGGAGTTTCCAACATGCAATACTGCTGAGATATCATACACGACCAATGGTTTTAATTATAAATCATATATATATTCATGGTTAGAACTCTACGCTTGGCTATGTCCGATTTTCTTTCTATGTTATCATGCTATACTCCAGCACTCTATTTGCCCCGGGCACTGCCGTTCCGGTCGGAATGTACAAACGATGGAATTCAGATATTGAGAGGATCAGTCGCAAATCTGAGACAATTTAATCCTTACAATATCATGTTGCATCAATGAATCACGAAAAATCCTCTTTGTAAGAACAAAAAGTCGACCACGGCGGGTAGAAACACAAACTTGTCGCAATACCAACACCCCATGTCAGCAGCAGGGAAGAACAGCACGTTTGGGGATCTAACTCCAGCTTGAACGAAATGGTACTATCCTATTACCTGCTTCGCACGCTCCAGAAAAGCATCAAAATTTCTGGACCTGTTCTTGTTGATTCACAGATTAAGCTCCATCCACCTATTCTGCATCGCCGCCATCAAAACCATCATCTTCAACATCTTCAACCTTTTGAGGTGCCACACTATCTTCAACAATTGTAGGGTCATCATCTCTAGACACTTCAGGGCCTGGTCCTGCAGACATTTCAGGACCTGGTCCTGCAGACACCTTGACCATTGCTGGGCGAAGTAATCTTTCCCCGAGTTTGAAACCTTTTCGGAATTCCTGGAGAATGATCCCCTCTTCGTACTTTGATGACTCTTCTCTCATAATAGCCTCATGAAGCTGAAACACAAGGTGCAATAAGGAATCATTTTAAAAGAAAAAAATATCCTTGCAAATGCTCAGATGTGGACAACTATAAAGATTTAGCATTTCTGTTGCAGAAGTCAAATAGTCAATAGACTCTACCACCTGATTACACTGAAATACTAAAAATGTAAGAGTAGATATGTAGTGTAGCAACAAAACTTTAAGTGGACTATGCAAATCTCAGGATTTAATCTAGATGATGTTTTGCTAAGACTAGCTTACCATAGGATCAAATGGTTTTGCCTACAGTTTCAACATCTTCAACGCCCAGTGAATTCAGAATCTCGATAAATTGCTTATAAATGCTCTGGTAGCTATTATTTATTTTCTCCTCTCCCTCTGTTTCCACCTTTATTTGCATTTTTGCTCTTTCAAAGTTGTCGAGAACAGGCAAAAAGCTCTCTATAAGTTCCCCTTGAACATTTTCCATCATGTTAAGCTTCTCATTTTCTGTCCTTTTCCTGAAATTGTCAAAATCAGCACTGATCCTCAAGATACGTTCTCGTTGAGTTGCTAGCTCGGCATTTAGAGCAGTGATTTTGTTCAAAAGAGAGTTTTCTCATCCTCGATGGCAAGTAAAAGGACTCTATCTCAGCAGCTTTTGCTTCATCATCATTAATCAGTGCTTCTCTGTATGACTGCAGTGTTGTCACAATAATAGATGGAGTTTCATCTGTGCTTCCAGCACCATCATCTGCAGCACTATCTCCAGTAACCCGGTTTCTGAATCCTCCTGCAGCATAGAAAAATAACATCATAAAAAAAGCCCAAGCATCCAATAGACAGATTATCTGTACATCGGCGTGGATAGAATTGCAACAAAATGAACTTCTTGACTTTTAAACAAGCATTCAAAGGAAAGCAAGATATTGTTGCACTATTGCCATCTTTTAGAAAATTCCAACCTAACATAATAAAACATTTTCCTTTAAATTATTATGTTGGTGTCATGTAATCTGCAGAAAGATTGCATCCCTGCACTGCAATTTAACTATTGTGAAGGTGTTACACAAATCAGTGCCATATTGTATCTAAAGCTAGAATGAAGGCTTTGATATATAACTTTTCAAATCCAACAGCCTCTAACAAAATTCCAATATAATAGCATAATAGCATTTATAGTGAAATGCAACAAATCAATGTCCTCAACCAACAAGATTGTGCATTTTGCTATACTTCAAGGATCAAACAGGAGACTAGCATCTTCATGAATTAGCACAAGTGCACAGGCATGCAACTGGGTACTGCTATTGCTGTCACACCATCAGAGTGGCAGCATCACATGGAAGTGTTTTTACAAGTACAGATAAGTTCCACTAAATAAAGATGCACCACCGGTGTGACTACCCTACTTATCCAAGGTTCTCCAATAGCTTTCCATAAAAGTGCAGCACCCCGTTTTTCTAACAGATAGCTAATGCTTCCAAATTAGTGAAACTTTGGGCAGTCATTACTTACAGAAGTCCTATCCAATACTCGCTCTAATATTGATCAAACTTCAAAATAAAATTACATTAGACTATAGCAAGTACAAGTTATGAAGCCAACAAGCTTATATTGAAAATGAATGATAAGTTAGCACACGAATTTAAGAATGTCTCCCAGCGAAAAAATAACTATCATGGACAACAAGGCTATATAATTTAAGTATCACAACTGTCCTACATTGCTAAATCTCGATCTCGATCTTCTTGAGGACCACCTAAAAATCACTAATCATGACTAACCAAGATCTGTTTAGGGGATGCTTAAGAAGGCAAAGCAGAAATCTTCATACCAGAAAATCATTTATGAAACAACATATTGAAAAATTCTTAACTGGTCATAGCAAACAAGTCAAGAATGAAGGTCCAGCTGCTTATTCCCCAAAATTACAGCACTTATGTATCCCCAGCCATATAATCAAAATATAGCGAAAAGAAGCAGTAGCTTCGACACAAATTGTGTACCTACCTATCCTAACAAGTAAGGGCAAATAGTTCGTCCTCAGAAGTCAATGCAAAGCAGTTGCAGATCATTACATAGACAAACCTGGTGTTTAGAGAATGAACAATATGTCACCTCCGGTTAATATTTTTCTACTTCAAACTTTCCTTAGACGCTAACGATATCAGGAATCTGACAGCTATTCTAAACAATTGAAGCAACCACCCGTCCATTGGATACAAAGGAACGACAGAGTTTACGAGCTACGGCCACCAGAACACCCACCCTCACCTGCGTCGCCGTTTGCGCAGCCTCGTCGGCCTCGGTGGCGGCCAGGCGCCGGAGCCTGCACCCGTCGCGACAGAAGACGTGCGGAGTCGGCAGCAGCCACGCCCGGAGCGGTCGGGCCGGCGCGCGCCGGGAGCAGGCGAGCCGCAGGCACCGCCCACGCGGCTCCCGTGCGGACAGCGGCGACGAGGGCGGGGGCGCGAGGGCCGCGGCCGTGCGGAGTAAGGCAGCCATGGGCGCGCGGACACCGGTGGGGGGCGCGGAGAGGGCAGAGGGGTTTTGTTTGCGCTAGCTATCGGATGCGGCCTGCGGGAGAGGAGAACAGCGGGGGAGGTACGGGATAACCCTCGCCTTCAGATGGATGGATGGATGGATGCGAAATTGGGAATGGATCGAGAATTCGAGATGGCTCCTTCCTTGCTTTTGGGTTTTCTGGAAGAGGAGTGGAGAGACTCTCGAGCACTCTCGAGTCTCGGCGTAAGGAACCCACGGCAATAATTTAGACATTAGATTCAGAAGAAGTAGGCTAAATTTCAACAAGAATTAAAAAAAGGCAATCTGAGAACCCTATATTTATGCTACTCCCTCCATCCTAAAATATAATGTATTTTCATTTATTCTAAGTTCACCTATCTTAAATTAACTAAATTTATATAAAAAAGGAACAATAATATTGTTAACATCATTATGAAATGCATTTTTATAACTTACCTTTTTGATGTGTAGTTAATATATTTCCTAACCCAAACATGCTTACAAGGCCTAACTTAGTTCAAACTGTGACACAACACGTAGTTTTATTCACAAAGAATGTTCCATGATGAATCTAGAGCTGGGCCAGAGCCAAAACAAAGCTATCGCTTTTAGCTTTCTAACGCATCCAAAATCACCTTAATTAGACTCCATATAAGTTATCATCGATTCAGTGTATGGTTGTCTGCTGATTCCAAGACAAATTCTAACTCCGAGTTAAAATTTACTGGAGCTCCACATGACTTGACACGTTTATAGGCAACACTCCCATATTCTTTAGGATCAAAATATCACAAGAATTCAATAGCATACCATCCTTAGAAACAGCATTATAAAAGAGAGTAACGAATTCACCCGATGACTAGCGGCGTGCACGAGCTCGAGTAATTGGTCATTGTAAAGTATCTGTGTCTACAACAATGATGTCCGCATCACGTCGCCTTTCTTCTTCACTTGCACTATCCACTCGACTAGCTTTTCTTGGAAGTAGTTGAAAGGACCGAGGATGCCGCCTAGAGAGGAGTGAATAGGCGTTCCTAAAAATTCAACCTTTCAAAATCTGAAAGCGATTAGTGTAGAAATTTATGATGTCTCGAATTCCCAAATCGGATAAATAAATCCATCACGAGTCAACCCTTTGAGTATCTAACAAGTACTACATATGTCTAGGAGCCACAAGCACGCAACACAAGAGTTAGAGGCGAGAATGAATCAAATCGGCTGATAAGGCCCAAATACTGGGACACGTCCAGGTATTCACTTGGTTTCTTTGGATCGACTCCGATTTCCTCCGATTGACTTACGTTTTCAAAACCACACTAGAAAAGGAGTTAGTAACTAAGGCATGCTCAATTGATAATTTTTTTATACCTTTCATTTAATACTTTTAGTTCTTCCAACTTGGAGATGAGAAACTTTTCTTGCTTTTGAAGTGATTGTTCTGGTTTCTCATTCTCTTCTTCAGGCTCATCATTCTTTTCAACTATCTTCATGATGATGAACTTGTCTTTGCGGTTGAGATGATCAAGGTTGTAGTTGTCTTCAACTTCAACATCACTCTTATCTTAATCATCCACTTGTGCTTTCTCCTTTTCTTGATCTTTCTTGTTACTCTTCTTCTTGCTTTTCTTGGCCATGAGACACAAGTGATGAGAATCATTAGATACTGAGGTTGACTCATCATTTCGCCACCATCGAACTTGATCATTGTCGCAGACACCAACTTGCTGTCTTACTGCTTCACCAATACCGGACACGTCCGGTATGTGCAACCAGCCAACACTGCATCTGCGGCTTGCATGTCTTGCTCCGGCTCGATGCTTTGCTGGTTTCTTGAGGCTTCTTCACTGCATGAAGATTCAATGGACATGTTTTCCATTGACTCAAGCTCATATGCATCATCGTATTTGGATTTTCCATATAACTCAACAAGTCTAGTCCAAATGAGATGAGCACTCTCCGGAGGTGGTTGTCCATTGAAAATAGCCTCATCTAGAACCTCTGCACTCAATGTACTCAATATGACATTAATTGCTTGAGCATTGAGTTGCACGCATATCTCATCCTCTTTTGGAATATTTTTGTAGTTGCTCCACTCAACTACCGGAAGAGGTATGCTTACATCCATAATTGCTCAACAAGAGGACTAATAGCCCTAAAAGCATTGGGTACGTGAATTGACCAAGGTAGAAAGTTTGAACCATCATTTTAGAGAAGCATCGGCTCAGACTCGTTAGGACGTTGGCATCCTTTTTCTCACGGCGGTGAGGCTTTTAGTGAGTCATTGCTCGATACCAATTGAAGGACCGAGTATGCCGTCTAAAGGGGGGGTAAATAGGCGTTTCTAAAAATTTAACCTTTCAAAATGCGAAAAGCGATTAGTGTAGTATTTCCAATGTCTCGGAATTCCCAAATCGGATAAATAAACCCCTCATGAGTGAACCCTTTGAGTATCTAACAAGTACTAAATATGTCTACGAGCCACAAGCACGTAACACAAGAGTTAGAAGGCGAGAATGAATAAAATCGACATAAGGCTCAAATACGGACACGTCTGGTATTGACACCAGTTTCACGTTCGGTATTCACGGGTTTCTTTGGATCGACTTCCAATTTCCTCCGATTGACTTCTCTTTTCAAAACCACATTCTTTGGCACCTACTAGTGACACATCAACAAGCTCAAGCAACACACATAGATCACAAATGCCAAGTGAAAAGAGAGATCGAGACACAAGAATTGTTTTACCGAAGTTCGGTCTTAAATCGAGACCTACTCTCCGTTGAGGGGTTCTGGCGACCCAACAAAGGCCGACTCTAGAGGACCACGAAAGCCACTCTAGCGAAGTCTTTTCCAACTCCTTTTTTTTCGCGCCTTCCACTAGACGATTCCTTTCCTTTGACGGTGGAATCGAACTATCACAAACTTTCCGAGGCACACTGCAAGCACTTGGGTGCTCTCCGACGACACCTAGCCGTCTAGGGCCAAAGAGTCCAAGAGTAACAAATGCAAATCACGAGATCGACAAGTATGCACAAGTGCTCAAGGGTGGCTTACTCTCAATTTGAATCTCACTCAACCCACAAGATGGATTTTGTAAGTTTGAATCAATCACTCACTAAGAGAGGGTTAGAGAGTGTTCTCAAGGCTCAAAAATATGTGAGAATTTCAATGAGAATCAGTAGGTCTCTAAAAGTGGAGGCTAAGGGGTATTTATAGCCCCTTTGAAAAACTAGTCGTTAACTAGCCGTTGGGAAATACCGGACACGTCCGGTATCAATAGCCTATACAGCACCAACGGTCACTAAGTCAGCAGCGCATGTGAGGCGGCGGAACTCCCAACGATTGCCGGAACTCCCGACCGCCAGAACTGTAACACCCTCGGTGTTACGCCCTAAACAAATTACCAAACCATGTCATGAGCATCATGTTTATGTGAGAATGCATGTGATGGAATGCGTGGATAAAATTTTTGTAACTTAAGATGATCAATAAAAATGTTAAATGAGAAGCTATGCCATAACTCGTGTATATCAAGTAGGGTTTAAAACTAATTTTTATTGAACAAAAATGCTATAGAACATATATATGGCACTTAAATAAAGTTTAGAATATGAACTTTGTAGATGACAATAAAATCCTTGCTGTAGAAAAATAACATTGCTAGCTAATATTTTTAATAGCCTAGAAATGCAATTTGGAATCAAATTCAGCTCAAAAATTTAGAATATTTTTCAAGTATGTTGACAGCTAGACAATGCCATGTTTGGGAATTCATTTTGGGAGATTGAGTTAAGGGGTGGTGTCATGTCTTAGCTCAGGTTGGTAGCCTGATATGCCCTTTGGAGCATGGCGAAGATAGTTTAGGTTCCAGAGCAACCGTTTAGTTTTTATAGGTGCTTTAAAATTCGTGCAAGACAGGATTTTGGGCTAGTTCACCGGGGGAGCGCGGTCACCACGCCGGAAGCTTGACGTCGCCACGCCGGCTTCTGCTACTGCACTTACTACCTTGCTGCATGCGATGTCCGTGCAGCGCTTCGGGCACGGCTGGCCGCCAATGGCTCTGTCGCGTGGAGCCACTGCTCCTGCTCGCACGGCGGGGCGGCGCTGTAACCTTCCTTGCCCACCGACCCGCCTCGTGCTGTGATGCAGCCGCTATCGGTGTCGTCGCATCACCATCGTGTCCGCGCTTGTCCCCTATGCCTATACCCCGCTCCTGGTCTAGTTATATGTCGTGCGCACGTGGCTGAGCTCGCCGTCGTCTTGCCATTGGGCCTATTCGGCTCGTATTAAAGCTGGCTGATAAGCCAGCTGAAGTTGTTTTGTTGTGAGAGAAAAATACTGTAGATTCTAGCTAATAAGCCAGCTGATAAGTTCAAGCGAACAGGCCCAATGGCACTGCGTCCACGCGGGCCATGCCGGTCGATGGACGCACGCGCCTATCCCATTGCGTCCATGTGCATAACACCTAGATCACGCCGACCATGTCCCGCCAAGGCGAGACCGAGACAAACCCACTTGCCGCCTCATCTCTCTCTCTCTCCCTCTGCTGTCTCCGTCGAGCCACACCATCAAATTGGGCATCGAGTGATCACTTCCATTTAATTCAGCACGTCTATGGCTTCACCATCAAGTTCTCTTACTGCCCGACCCCACCCAGCCATGAAGAGGGCACTGCCAAGCTCCAATTTGGCGCTTTTCCCGCCGCCGTGCCGATAAGGCCGCGCCCGGCCCTGGACGAGGGTAGCCCTCCTACCATCCCTTCAGAGCTAATTCACTTACACCACTAGCTTTGCCTTGCCTCCCTCTCCACCTTGCGCATACCAGTAGAACCGCTATCGCCTCCCCGTCGCCGTTGACGCGACCACGCCACCACGGTGCGCCACCGCACAGCTCGACCGCACGTGGCCACACCTCCTCCACCATCCTCTACCCCAATCGTCACCTCGGATAGGTCCACGATAGTCTACTGATGCTCCCTC